GTTCTACTATTAAATGAAGTTATAGTTCAGTGCATTACAAAATGCTTGAAATGTTTACTTTTCTAATCAACATTCCAATCATTCCAGTCCAATCGCCTTTTTTTCGCTTTGAACCAAACGCTTTGTCCACAGGAGATAACACGGTGAAACTGCAATTAAAATTGTAAAATATATTCTTATGATACATGCATAATAAATATAACAATACATACAAATAATATGTCAGAAATATACAATCATAGGTGCGTTTAAGAGATAGGAGATCATATAATAATAATTTAATTATGTTATTAATGTATATTTGACACTATCTAATTATGTAAAATTTGAATTGTGAACTGTAAAATTAGACACTCTTTCAAAAATATTAAGAACAAAATATACCTGCAACATTATACAATAATATCTAATAGTTTAGGGTTAGACATGGGTAACGAAAGCCAAAAGCTGGTGTAATTCGTACACTCACTTTGTATATTTGAATACTGTGACTATGCTCATTCATTCTACTCATCGGTTTATGTGTTAGATGTGGAAAAAAGCTCTATAAAGTGGAGTGAAAGTGGGTCCTATCTTCATTATGAACAGCCAGGTAGGTCACTTAATTCGTAGTTGGCATTTAAAAATATCTAAGTGTAATCGTAACTTCGCATGTTTACTTCCAAAAGTTGTGCTATTAGTGATAAGAAATAAATTTCAAAGAAACAGAAAAGGAAGATATCAAGTTTTTCACATTTTATTTAAAACAAACACCATTGAAACTTACTGTTATAATACATAATATATTATGATTAGAATGATCGAGAGGCCCGAATGTAGCTTATTGGTTAGTGTATATGGTTCGAGAGGTGATGTGACCAGTACGCTTTGCACTTTCATTTGTGGGTGTGTTATAAGACTGACAGTTAATCCCGCTATTCGGTTAAGAATAAACACTTCAGAAGACGGAGGTTGTCAACTGATGTCTTCCCTCTGATTCGTTGTTAAAAATATATCTGACTTGGCAGTGTGTGCATAAAGAATCATTCAGACGAACAAAGAAAGACCGATCACAACAGTATTCTAATCTAAGTTTTTGAGTAAGTGGACTTTTTTCTTTGTTTGTTTTAGAGCAAAGTTACGTTTGACTATCTTCTGTGCTAACCGCGTGAATTGAACCCCAGATTGTAGCGTTATAAAACCGAAAACTTACTGCTATTCCACCGGGGGTACAACTAAGTAGGCATACAATCCACACATGAAAGTTAATTAATCTACTGAGAGACGACGTAATAGTTGCGCATTTAATTAAGCAATTAATTAATTTAATTAAGTAGAGAGATTTAAGTTATTTGTCTATCGGCCTGATGGTTGGGTCAATTAAGTCGCAATCTGACGGTCGCTAGTTCGAATGCCGTCTACGATCATGTTCATCCTTTCAGCTATTGGAGGGCAATAATGTGAAGATCATTCCAACTATTCGATGGTAAAAGAGTATCCCAAAAGTTTGCGGTAGGTGGTTTTGAATAGCTGTCTTCTCTCTTATTTAGCAGTTAAAGCTTAGAGACAGAGAACACAGATAGCTATCATGTATCTTTGCGCGAAATTCAAAAACAAACAATTTGCTTATAACAGATAAACCTCTTCACATATAAGACATATCCTCTTTTGTTGAGGAATATCTATACAAAATTGTGTATTATCCAATATTTAGGGGTTTGGCTAAAGTTAGGATTGGCTCTTTGCAGGCAGACGACAAAGCCAACAATAAACTCCTTGTTTTTGCTCTTTACTTAAAGGTTTTATGGTCCGAATATAAACTATTTATCTCGAGTGTGGTCTTAAGTACAATTTTTACGCTAGACTTCAGATTTCTAAATGAACACGTTTAGCCCATAGTAAGTTCTGGTACGAAAAAATAGGAGTAACTTATGTTTTTTACTAGTGATAAGGGAAAGATTAGATTTAGCATATAAAATTTCATCATTAATTTTGACATAGGTACGATCTATAACACAAGGATTAAAACCTCCAGATAATGCAACAGTTTTAAAGTAATTGAACTAAGTTTCTAAATTTTGTTTTAATGTGCAAAGTATGGCCCTATTTACAAAGCATTATAAAAAGACATATCTGTGATACATAATCTCTTATCCTTCTGTGTGACAGCATAGAAATAGCATAAGATTATCTATGAACGCTAGTAATTATTATATCTCTTAATATTTTCACATTAACATTCAAAAAAGGATGACATTTTTTTATTACATTCTACAAATGAAAGTTTTAATATTTGGTCTCATTCAAAAAAAAGTAAAAAATAATTGGCATATATTTTCCATGTTGTCATACATGCGGATGCTATAAACACACCATAATCAAATTTTTGGTTTTTGAATATCTGAGAATTTGCTTCCGAAAAATTCCTGTTAAAAAATTCATGTAAAGTTCAGCAAGTAATGATGAAGGGGGAAGAATCTACATCTAAGCCCAAAGTTTGTTTATTAAATCTTCTTTTATAGCTAAAATAGATTTTATACATACAACATTCTTTTAACATATTTATAAAATAAATTTCACTATTAGTAGTATTTGTTTACCCTAATTTAGTTTCTTAGACAATTCATTGTTTAATGAACAGGTACAAACGTGAAATATGATATTGTTGCAACGTGTTCTATCGTTGGGTAGGCTGTTGTGCTCATGGCAACAAAGTTTGACCTCATTATTCATCCGATCCACGAGAGTTCTACCAATCATTAATCAACCAGGACACGTTGAAGTGTTTGGTTATATTATGGCATAGTCACTAAATGCAAACTTATTCTTAAAAAGACCTGCTGTGAGTATTTCACTTTTTGGTGGTACAATGACTGCTCTTCTTGTTGTTTTCGGAAGATCAACCTGTGTAGTAATTGTAATATAATGCACAGGGATCTCCTAGTCATGACCTGTGAAGCTATTTGAAAGTAGTCTAAACTCGCATCCATGTCTTTGCACGAAAGCGGTTCTTAATATGCACTCTTCCTCGATGCCAGTTACCCACACATTATGGGGTGTAGAGAAGCTTCCTTCAGAAAGGGCAACTTAAAATTTTTCTCCTGCTAAAGAACTTTATGTCTACAGTTATAGAACTAGTGTTGATTAATATGCTGCAACATTTCCCTTCAACGAACCCATAAACCTGTGGACTGGTTTCTTTAAATAATGAACCTTTTATCTCATTTGAGGAAGGTGCAATATTCTCAACTGAACTTTGTCCAATAATATCAGTAAGTTTCTGTTTTTTCCAATGTCTGGCTAGCTCTTCGTTGTTCCTTTGATCTGGGAAACCTGACAATAACTGCTGTTGATTCCTCACAGTCTCAGTTGTAATGGTCATGTTTTCCATGTCTATAATAGTTCCCTATTTTTGGTATCCTTTGGGAAGAGTTATCATTCTATACAGACTTTTGTCTGCAGTTCTGGGGAATTTGTTCTCTGAAGTTATACTTTCCACACCTATTCTCTTTTAGTTTATTTCCTCCATCCTGTATAACTAGCTGTCTAATTGATCATTTCTGCTCCGCTACACTATCATCAGGGGGAGTTAATGTTTTGATACTACTAAATCTGATGATTCCATAATTTCTAGATGGTGACTTTATCAGCCTATCTACAACTTCAATGGATTCAAGTTCCATAACTTCAGCCTAATTCACATATCCTCATCTGTTATGGCATCTATAAAATTGGTCACGTGCCAATAAATCTATCATTTTACATACAGAATCTGGGTAAGATAGTTGGGTAAGCCTTTTGAAATTTTCTGTTAGGTTGGCTAAGATCTCTTATTTCCTTCATACATTGCTTCGAAACTTTACTCTGGATACTTCCTTCAGCTGTGTCACTCTGAACCTGTTGGATAAGGCAGCTAACAATACTTGATACTTGTTATAGCTCTCAGATGGAAGGTTGCTTAATGTAATTAAAGCTGGTTGTTTTAAATGAGGAGCGAGATGAATAGCTTGTTGTTTACTGTTCCACTCATTTATTCTGGAAATTATTTCGAACTAAACCTGATATGCCTCCCATGGTATCTTTACGTCATAATCTGTTAGCTTATCTACTGAGCAATATTATTGAGCTGGCCAGCTACATAATGGAACAGGATTTGGTAGTGATGTGGCTGGAGTGGTCCAGGAAGATCATGCAGTCACAGATGGCACAGCAGTAGTAGACTATATAGATTATCCTATTTCATATTTTATAGGAAATGGTGTTTTAGGTTGGAATTCTTGGCCAGATGCAGAGAAAAGTGTGGTTGATTTGAAATTTGCCTTTACCAATTCATTTAATTTTTTATTCTGTCCTTGATGTTATTTTTTATCTTGTTGGTTTTTTGTACTTCTTTGATTTTGTCATTACAGCCTTTCACTTCTTCAATCTCGTTGTTGTAACTCTCTGTTTTGCTCCAGTAGCTTCATCGATCTTGTCTTCAGTCAGATTTATTTTTGTTCTTAGATCTTCTTTAAATATTATGCTTTTTGTATTTTAACTATCTTCTTAAATTCCTGTCTCTTATCTATTGAGCTTCTTTTAATTTTCTATAAACTTCTTTGTTTTCTTCGACTTTCCTATCTCTTTCTTCTTGGTCTTCTTTTATTTCTCTTTTAATTTTTTCTCATACTTTTAATTTTCAGTCCATTTTCTCTTGATCTCATTTTAATTTCCTATCTTGTTTTTCAAAATTTTGGCATTTTTTTTTCTTGAGCTTCTCTTAATTTTTGGTCTCCTTCTTCTCGACCTTCCTTTAATTGTCTTATCACTCCAGCAAAGTTTAAATACCGCTTTATGATATTGTTGTCATCTTTAATATAAGTTTAGTCAAAGTTCTATTTTATTTTCACTAAAATAACCCCACTTCTGATACAACTATCGTAATGTGTTATATCATTGGGCAGAATATTTTGGTTTATTTAGTAAAAATAATGCCAAGTACTGTCTAGGTAATGATATCGAATTAATATATTTCTTCAATAACGTTTTTTTAGATTACTTTCACTTTGACACAAGTTGTAGGCCTAAGTTCACAAAAAACGTTTGAATATATATTCCGAGACTTATGGTATGTCTTACTCGCAAGAAAAATTACTTACAGAATGCCCTTGCTAACAGATGCGATAACTGTCACTTCTAACACTGAACTGAATCACTGATTTGCTTAATCATTGATTACTCATTAATTCACTGTCTCACTTATTGTCGTGTTTATAATCATATTCTTATTTCTACATACTACACGAAATTTCTAGATAATTATGTCAAGAGCCCTCTAGCAAACAAACATCTAAATTAAAATATTTCAGATATGATTTGTTTGTTTTTTCTGAGGCTGTACTCTCAACTGTATGAATAACGAAGCGAAAAAAAGTTGGTTTGGAAAACAAATAATGAAATAGAGTATTTGCCGTTTTCTAAGACGTTGCAAAGAACGCTTCTGCACGATTTGATTTTTAATAAGTTATTTTATTTAACTTCTGTCAGTCTCTGATATTAACAAAAAGAAATATATCAATTATTGTTCTTATTTACTAAACAACACCACGGAAATCTAAGACTTTATAGTGAACGAATGTTTTATTCAAAGGGCGACATGTATTTATAAACAAAAACAAATTAGTAATTTCAAATTTCAGATAATGATAGATGTTGATCACGAATACATTAAAGAACAAGGTAAGATCCTCTTTTTTTTTTCTCTTTCTCATTCTAAATGAATACAATCCACGTAAAATATACAAAAACTCCAGTTTATAAAATTATTGAATCCGAAGGAGGTTCTTAGAGGCTGTTTTTGCGGCACATTTCTAATGACTTGTTACTCACCTAAAGTTTAAAGCTGTGGATAAGCTGTGAATAATTTCAGCCATCGGTCCTCTGACATCTATACATTTACCTCTTTCAATCATTTTAATCCATGGTATCCACTGAAAGAAAAAAAGAAAACACTGTCAGTCTAAATATGCATGTTAAGATAAATCAATATAACTAATTACACGTAGTAGAATGAATTTTTTAACTGTTTATATTGTAATGATAGAATTGTTTTATTATTTTTGTGGGAGAGATATATAAGTTTAGTATCTTGTTGTTTTTTCTTTCAGGATCGACAAATTTATTATTTAACTTTAGAAATGTTCACACAAATGCATAACAAACGAATAAACCATTCTGAAAATTACGCTTCTCAATTCAATGGTTTATAAGGGAATCTTTTGATCATGTAACAATTAAAAAACATTATGTGGTTAATTAGTTAATGCCCCATGCAAAGATAGAACCTTGAATTTTAGCATTATAAGCCTTCAAACTGACGACCAAGCTATCAGGCGAATGGGTTATTTGTCTCATAGTATTTCAAATGTGAATTTATAGTTGGCTTTTGGATATGTTCAAATTTAAAAAATCGTTCAAAATCGTACTTTTAGAACCTAAACAAGTTCTGTAAGTGCTCTATTTTAATGGAATTTGAAATCAACAGTCATATCTATACTTCTACTCAAAGATGTAAGGCCAGTTTCTTTCCTCCACGACCACTCGTGAATTATAGTTTTATGTACCAGACTTTTAATTTGATTATATTGAATTGACAAATACTTTAGCCTGAAGACTTAGTTGAAATTAAAATCCTGATATTTTTTGAAAGTATGCAAATAAATAGACTTGAACAACCGTCTTGTTGTGAGTGTCACATTTAAAGTGACCAATTTGATTTGAAATGGCAACGGTTCCTATTGTGTCAACTTAAAATTGTCACATTTTGCTTATACTTGTATAAAACATGCCCATTAACAAAAACAGGGAAGGCAGTCTTCTGATATCGTCAAATCTTTACACGACTGATAGAACCAGAAAAATCATCACTGCAAGCGTTATAAAATTCTCAAACGACACTTTCCGTGGGAAAGTATAGGAATAACAAAGGATGACTGACCCTTGATATTTCTGACTACCAAAAAATAAAGTCAAACTGATTATATACAGACTGTATGTAACATTTGTGCCAACGTGGGTGTAGAAAAAAAACTTTGTTAAACAAGAAATGTTCACTTTATAAACTAAAAAAGAAAGAATCACATTATATGTCTCACATACTGCACTATGTCTAATAGTGTTAGGTAAACATAATGTACATTTGTGAACTTGAATTGCTGTCTTAGGCCAAGGTTATATATCACAGTAATCACTCTAAAGAACCAGTACTTGATTGGCTAGGTTTATGTATTGCTTCTCCCTTGGGATGGTAATACCCAGTTGCAGGAGTGGTGTAGGAATGTGGGATATCGCACCAGGATCTTAGTCTAACCAATACTGTGG